GTACTCACTTCTCGTCGTCGCTATCGCTCGGCCGACGATCCACCAGAGGCACGCGCCTTAGTTCCGCTTCGCCTAGCCACCCGTGGGCCAGATACTGCTCGTTTTCGTGTATTTCGAGAACACACGGCCGCGCACGAGCCTCGTTCGAATATTTCTCGTTTTGGAACGCAAGACGGTGAATCAAATAAATGAAGATTTCAATTGATAGGGAGGATGAGTGAGGGATGATAGTTTAAGAGGGTAAAAGGAAGAAAATAGTGAGGAAGTGGGGAGAGAGTGTAGAATGGAATAGTTAGTATTTGAGAAAAAGAAGGAAATAGAGAGAAGTGAGAATGGGATAATAGTTTGAGAAATTGGATGGTAAAATTTGAAGATGTGGAGAATGAGATGTGAAAATGAAGATATGAAAGAAGAGAAGAGAGAGAAGAAAGGAGGAATAAAAAGTTATAATAAATGATTTGGAGAATGGAATGAGGAATGAAAATGAAAATGGTGATTTATAAGAGGGGAAGAAAAGAAAATAGAGAGTGGGAAGGAGAGATATATTTAATGGAAAATATATCATTCATTGTAAGAATGAATAAAAGATAGAAAGCTATGGGAATAAAATAGAAAAATTATAGAAAAATTAATTCTTAAAAGAAACTAAAAGTAGAATAATAATTGAAAAAATTTTGAAGAATCAATAAAATTTAAAATTGAAAGTTGAATTGATATATAATTTCATGAGGATATTGATTTCTATTGCAAAGATTGAAAAAGAATTGAAGAAGTTTAAAAGCATAAGAGAAAGTTTGCTAAAAAAGGTTTGTATTTGAAGAGAATTTGTGTTTGAAAAATAGAAAATTGGAAAGTGTTTTTATGAAAATAAAAGTATCTTCAAAGAAGATACTAAAGAAAAGTGCTAGCTAAAGTGGAAAAAGTGTTGAAACAGAAGTTGGAAGAATAAGGAATAGAGAATATCTTGAGCACAGAAATTGTAAAAGTTTGATCAAAAAATGCTGAATTAAATTAACAACATTTTATGGAAAATCAAATGTAAAAAGCTCAATTTTTAACAATTTTAACAATCAAGTAAAAATTCTTATGAAAGAAGACGAATAAAACTTACAAAATTTAAATAAAATTTCAAGTTTGAACGAATTAACATCAAGAAACAATTTTAACAATTGCAATAAAATGATCTGTTTAAAAAGTGTTTAGTGAGTGATGTGTTTGAAATATGTCAAAAAAAGAAAATTTTTGAACTTAATTTCTTTTATTCTCGTTAATATGTAAAATTTTATCAGGAAAAAAAAAATTGTAAAGTATTTTGTTTCATTCATTAATTGGTTGTTTAATTAAAATAATATGTAAATATTGAAATCATTAAAAATGATATGAAAATTATAAATGAACAAGATTAGTCAGAAATGATCGAATGGGATATTATTAATGGAATTAATCCGAAATATTTGTCAAATTCAACGTTTTATTTTTTTTATTTATTTTATTTATTGATTTCAATGTTTAATAACATTTTATTCTCTTTGCACTCTTATCCCGAAAATTATCATCGATTATAAATATTTCAATTTTTTTCTTTTTTTATTTCATAGATATTTCTTTAAGATTGAGTTAATATCTTATATTAATATAAATAATAATTATTATAAAAATCTTAACCGTGAAATCGTAACAAATATTTATAGATTCCAGAAAATGAAGTTTTCAAAGGAAGCCTGGTTTTCTCACGATTTTGTTTCCGTTCGTTGAAATAATATATCGATCGAGGTAATTGGAGAATCGAAACTCTATGACTGATACTTTCAAAGTTGCTTATTCAAACACTATTGAATATTTTTGTCAAATTAAATAATTTGAGATTTATAAAAATGTAAACTTTCTTATTAATGTTGGATACATTGTTTTTCTTTTAAATTTTTATTTCTCGATTTAAAAGCGAAATGTGAAAGATCAAAAAATTTAGAAATTTGGCATAAACGCGGTAATTTATTTATTTTAGGCGTTTCTATTTCATTTTATAGATCTTTTGAAGCGAAACAGATTTTATCTCGTTTAATAAGCAATCTGATGATATCCTTGAACTTATCGATAAAATTACCAATATGTTATCATAATTAACTCTGAAATAAAATGAAAATTTATTAAAATATTTTTTTAAAAAAATGCATAACTATTATTTTATTGTCAACGTAATATAATTTCTTAAATTAGTTAGAAATTTATTATAAAATAATCTTGAAAAAAAAAAAAAACAGAAAAGAGTAATATAAAGGAAAAAATAATATCATGATGCATGTCAGATAATTATAACACGAGTTTTTTTTTTTAACATGATCGCTTACGCCTGAAAGGAACGCGTATTATCAAGTCGTCACTTAATCACTGACGAGAGTATATTTACTTGTGTTACGCACGCTTCTCTAATCAAAGCGACGCACTCGTTCGAGGTTATCACTAATGGCCGTCATGTGGGGTCAAGTTCGAGATATATGAATGAGAGAGAATGGATTTTACCGGCATGCTAGTAAATTAAAATCATTGATCGAGGTAATACTTTCTTTATAGTGATATCTATAAAAATATCTTTAAAATGTACTTACATACACACATATATGTTCTTACAGGTAATAATTTTATCTTTTTCGTTATAAATTTACAATAAAATACGAAAGATTATTTCTTAACAAAAAAACTTTATAACGATACCTGTAACCTGAAAGATAAATAATATTTCTTGATTACAATAACTAAAAAAGATTGCCGCTGAAGAACTGAAATAAAATATATTGCAATATTTATTCCAATATATCTCTTGAAAAATCAACGTCTTTTCAAAACAAAAAAAAAAAAATTAAAGAAAAATAAGAAAAATTATAAAACGAAGAAAGAATACATAAATAAATTATACTTCGTTTTACAATTATTTCGAAATAATAACCATTCATGCAACCCACGCAGAAAAAGAAATCTCGAAATGTCTCGAAGATTTACAGATTCGAGATTAATTCCTCGAATGAAACGAGAGTGCGTTGCGAGCGCTGCTGCGTCGTCGATCGTATACACGTTACAGAGCAAATAAACTCTCGTGTAGCTCTGTTAACGACACGGGTTTGTAATAGTTTCTAAAGCAAGAGCAAGATTTATCGGGGAGTTTGCCAGTTGTCTGGTCCATACCGGTCGGCCGCTTGTTTATAAATGGAATCGTCCGGGTATGCTACACACGTAAATATCGATTCTTTAGCGGCGCTTTTGTATTCGAAATAAATTTTTCTAGATCGTTTATTGTTATCTACGAGATGTGATTCAAGTTATTTCGCGCATAAGAATTAGATACTTTCGAGAATAATAAAGATGATTGGTTCAATGGACAGAATTTACAAAATTGGAAACAAACCTTTCTACTACTACAGGTACTATGTAGAGAAGTGAGAATAAACTTGCTATCTAACATGAAGGAAAAATGAACGTAGAATTTTTATTAGATTCTTCTTTGTTTGTGATTTGAATGATAATATAGTCGATATTTGAATTTTAAATATTGAATTAAATAGAATCTTTTTCGCATCGTGATAGATATAATATGATATCTAAACCCTTAAGATATATTTAAATAATAATTCAAATTATAAATTATAAAATTACGAATTTTTTATATATTCTAAATATTAAATGTTCATTAATTCATATTACACAGATGAATCTCATTATTATTCGCGTATTTATAATAATAAAGTAATCATAAATTAAATATAATCCAACAAAATAAGAGTGCAAAAAGAAATTATATAATACATATCATATAACGCAGGACAAAAGAATGAACTCTTCATGGACATCGTAACTTTTATCGTGATTTGGTGTATCTCCTGTTAAAAAAAATAAATCTATAAAGAATAAATCTCGATCAAAATACAATACGTGTCGACAATGTTAAAGAATTCGACGAAGCAAACGAACTCTGACGCACCAGTGTCGCCTAGTTCCGGTCCAGCCAATCCTTCCGGCGTGGAGACACCGAAGCCCAGAAAGAAATTATCATTCAAGGAGCCTGAAATATTCAATTACCTAAAGTTGAAGAAACCTTTTCGAAAAATGAAACTGCCTCCCCTTCAACTAACACACTCGATATCGGCCGTCGATTTTAGCTTCGATGAGAACCCTTTCGAAGAAGAGAACGATGACCTCGAGGAGCTCGAGGTAAAGGTGTACGC